TTAAATGCAGACATTTTGTTTACAGCTGTGGAAAGGAATTCCTAAATCATTAAAATATCTTGCATAAAAATAAAGAGCAGGTCCTGCTAGTTCTGGTTACATGTATTTACCTGATTTACTGGAGCTGGGGATACGAGTAGTAATGTTACCTTTTCTTCTTCGTTTTATTTGCTTAGTGCACTGGAGCACCACTGAGCCCTACCCCTTCTCCTTCCACATAGGCATGAGGCTCAGTAGGAGCAATATTCCCTCACTCGCATAGGATAGAAGACTAAAAACTGACAGTTTTCCTTGAGCACAGAGCCAGTTCTGTGCAGGTTTAAGATGTTCCGTACAGAATTTTCATGCGGATGTTCCATTGTATGTGTGGCTTAGTACAAAAGGACACTGTTAACTAAAGCAACTGTTAGCATGTGGTTGTAACTACACACTGTAAAAAGGAGACATTTCAATCCCATTACGTAGAAGAATGATCTATGAAGTGATACAAAGACTGATTTACTTACTTATGTCACAGTTAAGTGACTCTAGGGTGATAATGAAACTAAAGTAATATGCCTCCAGATAAAACTGCTGTCTCTGGACGCTAAATGTTATGTCCTTATGAGCTGACATGGAATTTATTCGTGTATTTTTCTCTTCTGAGTGCTGTCATATTTCTTTTTATAAAAACTGAAGTCCAGAGTTCTTCAGCTTCATTAGAAAGTACGCCTTTACTGAGAGAAAGTGTAAGTACTCTACAGTTGTTCTTTTACAGCAGTGAAAGTGCATATCCATTTAAAAAGAAAAAATTTTCTTAATGTTAACCAGATTTGCTAGGATTTGTGGTAAACTACATAAATATGCATTGATTGTATTTAACTTGTAGTTCTTGTATATCCAGTTGACTGTGAGCAACAAAAGTTTTTCCCAAGTGTTCTTTCTCTATTGTCAGCTTTAAATGGCTTAGAAATCCTTTTTCATTATGAGAGAGGTTATATAAAAGACCGTGTATTACTTTCCTACCTGAGAAGAGGAAGCAATTTTAATTAAAACTTAACAATAAAACTAGGAGGGTGCTTAGATGAGAGGCAACAGGGTGTATAACTCTTGTCCACCAGATTTTTGCCACGTTACAGAGCCAGAAGACTGTCGAGAGTCGACGATTCTCTGCGTCAGGTGTGGCACGGGTTGGAGGCCAAGGAGGGGTGCCAGATTGGCTGTTGCTCCTTCGGCAGCCCAAAGTATGCAACAAAAGCTGGAGAACAGTAGGCTCCTGCTACCGTTGTACCTTACTCTTGTAGGTCAGTGATGCATCAAAACTCAATTGCTCCCTGAACAGAGACCATCTCAGAGTTTTCTGGCTGTGCTCAATGCTTGCTAGAGGTTCCTGTCTGCCAGAGCAAATCACAGAAGATAATCTCATTGGAGGATTTGAATAAAAGGATGTTGCAGTTTCTCTGTGCTGCAGACAGGAGTGTTAATTTCCCTGTTTGCAAATAGTCCTGATATTCTGGTAGTAACACCAGAGATATCAACAGAAGGCAAAAACACATCATAAGTAAAATCTATAGATTAAATCAGTCATCAGTTTAAGGAAGGATGAGTTCTGAAAGTCAGATCTACTTGCATGCAGATTTAAGAAAAATGCTGTGCTCTAATATGTATATAATAAACACAAAATCCGTATCCAAACTTGTAGTGGTAAACTTGGAGGTAGGTAGATCATTTTATTATTTTGTTATTTTAAAAAATACATATTTCGCCTTTCTTCAGACTATTTCTGTAGAGTCCTTTTTTCTCCTTCCATTTTAATTTTCTTTTTTTAGACCAAGACTGTTCTGTTTAATACAATGTTTGAGATTTGAAAAAAAACCACACAGAAAAAAACAAAACCCAAAAAGACAAACCTGAGTGAAAACTCTTCATTTTTTGCAGTCTGTTAATGTTTCTGAAGATACTTCTGATGACTCATGGGTGAACAGACTTTCTCCAGCAAAAAGAAGACTCATGTAAGTTGTTAACAGTTCTTTTACTGGTGCAGGCCAAGAAGCCAGAGAAAGTAGCTGAACACAGAGGAAGAGCAGTATTTGTGTCCTGTGTTTTTCCTAGCACAGTTGTGCACTAACAGTTTTTGAAATGCTAGTCTTAGTGTGTGTATCCATATATAAATAGCTGCTCAATTTATTAGATTTTTTCCTTCACACTGTTAAGTGTGCTTTACCTGATCAAGTAAGTGTTAGTTACTACTACAAAAGAACAATATTTGCAAAGTAAATAGCAACTAAGTAATTACAGAGCTGTTTTTTATCACCTGGTTGATTAGCACTCCAGCATAGAAGGAGCCTATTCTATTAACATTCTTCCAGGTGTGGTTTCCAAGTGAATACATCTGGAGAAGGCATGTCAGCACAGTAAGGAGGCAGCAGAAGTGCTCCAAGGTAGAAGCGGCAGCTAGCAAGGGGCCAGTGTGGGGAGTGGAGACAGCCAAGAACACAACGATTTGGAGGCAGGGAATGGCACTGTGGAGGCAATGAACCTAGGAATAGTTATATAATATATAGATTGCAACAGTGAAGCTGATGATAGGAGCATTTTAGCTATATTTTGGTTGGTTTTCTCCTAGCTCTGCCTTTAGGAAATTCTAGTTAGTTGGTTTCTCTTCTCATTAATCTAGACTGTAGGCTCTTTGGGCAGGAATTGTCTGGGTTACCTGGCCACAAAGTACAGGAAAACTAATTTACTGTGTTGAACCATTTGCACACTAGAAAATAAAGATGTGCTGAAATGTATTATTTTTATAGTGTTGCTAGCAATTTTCATATGATACACAGTCTTTAACTGGACTTGTCTTAAGTGTATTATCTACTTCCCTAATTAAGGCTAGGCTGTTTTCTCTGATTTTTTGTCTATTTAAAGAGGATGTAGCCTGGCTGTAGTAGCTGGAATACTCTACGGTTCCAGTTTTGTACCAGTACTTTACATCAAGGACCATGGGAGAAGAAATGAAACTATATATAAAGGAGCAAGTCAATTTGGTAAAGGCTAATAGATCACTTCTTTATTTCATCAGTATATTGTGGTCTCCTGCTTTCATAAAGGCATAGAGTGAAATTCTTGGTACTCCTGGAAATACACTGTGACAACTTAGCAGTTCTGTAGTGTTATACGTTGTCATAATTATAGTACTAGTACTCCTTTTTTCCCAGAGGTCAATTACACCATGAAAAGAACAGTGAGAAACAGCCCAGAGGCTACCATACTTAACTCATAGTATTTAATACCTTCTGAAATACAGCTGGTATTCTCAAAATACAAACCTCATATGCCTGGAACATGAGGTAAACAAGGGCACAAGCTGTACCAATTGTCTAATTAGTGCGCTCGTAAAGGAAGAGGAGAAGCTTGATCATAATTGATGAGCAGAAGAGATATAGAACAATGTAAGTAATTAAAGCCTTGTAGTTTTTGAAATGGAAACCTTTTAATTTAAGGCTAATCACCATTTTCAAACATTTCCCCAGAAACATTTTCCTTAAGATTTAGTGTAGAGTCCTATTAGGTAGTGCCAGCAGCAGCTTAGTGCATACCATGTCCATAAAATATTTATTTTTGTTAATGATTATAGTGATCAAAATTGTGATACGTTCTTCAAGATTAAAAGAAAAGACAAAACTGTGCTGTGTTTAGCTTACACAGTACATGCAGTTGTCTTGCCCTTAAATGTACAGAAAAAAACCAAGGCTGTATTCAGGAATACAAATGTAGATGGTCAGGAGAGGATGTAATTATGTAAAAACCCCACCCCAGTTTTGTTTTTAATAAATTAATTCAGTAGTTTGATTAACAGAGTTCTGAAAATAGCTCGCAGAAATGCATGAAAGCTTGTGATAAATTATAGGGTCAATGCAGCAGTTAATTCATGTTTAATATAAGTGTGGTTGACCAAATCTGTCCACAGTCAGAGCGGCAGCTGTAGTTGTCACAGTCACAATTGAATTTGAGTTGTTAGCAGTAGCTCCTGATGTGTTTTTGTCTATGTGAGTGCTATCAGTGAAATAAATTTGGTTAGAACTAATAACATGTTTTAAAACTAATACAGTTTGGTGATTTGTCTTTCAGATTTAGATTATGTTTTTGCACACTTCAGTGGAATATTTCTTACAAGTACTGTCTACTTTTTGATCTACTGTGTGGCCAGGAAAAATAAACCTAATGTTTATCCCCAAGCCATATTGCCAGGTATGACTGTTTTTTAAATTAGCAATTAATTTCAGTTATTTCTTCTGACCGTTTTGCAGTCATTAGTTCAAGCTATGTGTTAGAATTGTAGTTTGCCTTTCAAGTCTTCATTTGTCTTTTTGCATCTTTTGAAAGATCGCTCCTATTAGGTTAATTCATTAAGGTTAGGAAACAATGATAAATTTTCTTCTAATGTGAAGTTAGAACAAAATGATACTGCATATGGTGGATTTTCAAAAACTGACTCTGCTAGAATGGAGAGTACATTACCCAGAAAATCATGAACTTTAATTAATTTGCTACTTTAGTTGGAGTAGCTGATTTTATCCCTTGAGCTTTGGTTTGCATTATCAAAACCAGCTTGTTAAACTAGTTAACATACTAAAATACATGACTACAGTTTCTGTATTATACTATAAATATAAATGTTCCACAAATTGCTCTCTATACCTTGCTGTGCCTGTTTTTGATTGGGATTTATTTTTCTAGGGTTTGTTTCTGGTGTGCTTTGGGCAATAGCCAATTGTTGCTGGTTCATAGCCAATCACTATCTCAGTGCTGTGGTCAGCTTTCCAATAATTACTGCAGTAAGTATATAAAAAATTAAAATCTGTGATTAGAATTAAAAGTGAAGGGTTTCCCCCACACCACCTCATTTGTGGAATTAAGTCGAAATTATGACATGCACCATGTTGATAAATGCCAATCATAAAAAAACAGAGGAATTGAAAGTGTGAGTTTTTAGATTATGTAAAATCCAAAGCTCTGTAACCAGAGCTATATCAATATTAAATGGTAAACTTAAGTGATTAAAAGAAGAAATGTTTTGTGCTTTCATCCCAGCAAATACATTTTGTTCTGGATGTTTTCATTCATAATTTTTATCCTCTAGCAGTCATTTTGCTTAATTAAGTCACATAGTTTTTCTTTTTACAGTTCTTGAACATGCAGAACAGATTATGTATTGCTGAAAATAGTGTTCTTATGCAAATGAAGGAAAAATAGGTTGGCCCTTTTGTCTGTTTTATTCCTATTTATGATACTGTACCCTTAAAGCGCTGATAATTTCCAGAAGCTGCATAAATTGCATCACTAGGTAAAAATAAACTTTGCATTTATTCTCTTGCCAATCTACTAGATGGTGCTGCAAAGGTAGATAACTTACAGCAAATGAGCATTCATAAATATTAAAACCAAAATTTTGCTGAACAACTGTATTTCAGGAGCAAACTAATGAAACAGTGTTAATAGGGATTAAACTTTGCGTCAAGATGCAGTAAATCAGAGTAAACTCTGCAGTATACAATGAAAAAAAGACTTAGGATCATTCTAATTAGAAATTAAAGGATTAATGGAAAGCAGCTTTAGTAACTCAGTTATCAGTATGCCTAAAGGGCAAGGATATAAAGTGACAAAATGAAAAATTTAAGGACAGCACTGATAAGAAACTGGCTGTCTGGACCACAGGTTTGCAACTGCTGCTGTACTTCATCCTAGAGAGAATTTCAGACAGCTATTCGTCACATCCCTTTAACAATTTGCTTCATTTTTAAAATGCATTCCTCTCACAGTGTACATTATCTAGAAAGTGGAAGAACACCTTAGCTATTATTCAAATAATAGTTAGCAATTTCACTAGAAAACAGCACCCACAAATACATTCAGCGTGAGACACTGTTTCCTGCTGGCCTAAATCTGTGCCCTGTTAGCGGTACTGAAGATGGAGCGAGGAAGGTCACTGTCCAAACCCCTGTCAAGTGTATGAGAGCAGCTCTAAGGGGAAGCATTAACAGAGCCAGTTTTCGCTTCGTATTCAGATAATATTTTCTCATCAGTCATGAAAATTCAGATCATTGCTCCCACAGGGGAAAAACTGTATTACCAGGAGTGCCTGGAAATTACCGTTCTATATCACTGTTTGCTGTTAGTTAGGAAGTCTGTACAACAACATCACAGATAATCAGTAGTTTTTCTGACCTGGCTGGCTGGCTTTATGCTTTGTCCAGATGCCTGCTATACAGGAAAGACATTCATGTTCCAGTCTCTTGCTGTCCCACTGAGCAATAAAATCAAATTTTGTCTAACTAGTTAGTCATGCTAATAAAGGAAATGTTAGGAATATCCATGGTAGCTGCCAATAAACCTGAATAGTCCTCTGAAAGGTGGTAACGTTGTGGACTGTAGTTTAAAGTGAGTCATGTTATTTGGAGCCTAATAAAAGAACGTATAATAGCCAGTGCAGGATCCACAATGTAATATAGAAATAAATTCTGCCTTCTCTGGAAAAAAAAGTCTCTTGCCTCTTTAGCCCTTCTTGAATATGTTATTGTGTCTTACTTTGTGAAGATTTCAGTGATGTTTATGCTTTTGCCATGAGTGCTGTAATTATACAAAATAGAAAGGCCTAAATTGGTTATCCAGATAAAATTCAACCACCTTGAGAACAGTAGTGAGAAGGTGGCACATATTAATGAAATGTTGTAATGTACAAATGAATCTTATTCTTTAGGGTCCTGGCCTTGTTGCTGCAATGTGGGGAGTCCTTGTATTTAAAGAAATCAAGGTAATCTTGTTAGGTCTCTTACCTAATCTCTCTTGCTTGCCTCTAGCTCTAGGAACAGTAGGGCTTGTTATACAGCTGTATCTCTTAGATTTCACCTCCTTACAAGTATTGCGTTGTGAAGCTGAAAGTCATATCGTGCAATACTAAGTTTTCCAAGAAAGATGAAGAATTGTGAACAATTTTTACAGGAATGCACATTTGAATTCCATAACTGTATGAGCAGCAGTGGGATTAAATGAAGACTGTAGCAGGGCCAGGAGGCAGGATGCCAAGCACAGCCTGAAAACTTTATTTGAGCCAGTTCTTTCAGTGGGGGCAAGGGAATGAGCAGTTGCCCTAATAATCACACAGACAAATAGATTAGACTTTTAGGGTCAGATTCACCGAAGGACCAAAAAGGTGAGACAGAGGTTAGTGGCCCTTGCTAATTACAGTATAATGTAGAGATTCCTAAACTGATATGGCAGTGATTGCATAGAACAGGCTAATTTTCTCTACTGGATGTTAACATATATGGCAGAAATTATTTTGCTAGTGGAATTTGAAGCATTGAATGCTGGCAGTGTAATCCTCAGGTTCCCTTAGCTAGTCTGTCCATGATCTGTAGACACCCAATTTGCTATTAGAGATCATCTTTCTCAGTGTTTTTGGTGACTGTGAAATGCGTTAGGCATCCTTGGATCAGGAGGTAGCAGTTTTCTCTCTCCCACTGCAGATTAATGTTACACTACACTAGGAGACCATCATGTTCATTATCCAAATCTTTGTGACTCGCCAAATCTTTCATCCTTTTCATACATTTTACAATTGTCTCTGCACAAGTGCATACTGCTTAAGAATAATCTGAAAATAGACCTTTATAAATATTTTTTTAAATTGTTAAATTAATTTTGTATTTTACTAAGTGCATAACGTCATTGATAACTTGTATTAAACAGTTTTGAACAGCAAATATGATAAAAACATATGAAAAAATATGGTACAAAACTTATGATTTCATGTAATGGATTTATTAATTTTGTCATAAAAGGAAACTCTAGTTCATTATTTTACTTTTTTTTGTGAAGTGGTATCTATTATGACACATGGTATTTTTCTTTTTCTCCCCCTTTGCCTATCCAGGGACTGAAAAACTACGTGTTACTCTCAGTAGCGTTTTGCATCATTTTGTCTGGATCACTATCCACGGCTTTTTCTAAAGTTTGAAAGGATCTTCTGGACCAGTAGATGGTGCTACTGTTTAATATAATCAGAAAGGCAATATTGGTATATTGTAATACATAATAATTTTCAAAATGTATGTCCAGCACTTACCCTAATTTGCTTCAAGCAAGTGAAAAAGAAAGCCTTTGCTAAATGTTCCCATTTGGCATGAAAGAAAATTTGGAAATGTTTGGTTTGCATTTCTTGGAACATTAAGAATATCAAAGGATTTTACTAAACAAAGCTAAATGATTATATAGTTACTAATTCTTTTTTTCTGTTTCGGGTAGTAAACTTCATGCCATTATAAATTGCAGTTCACTGTTATGATGATGGATAAAGGGATTTTAATTCTTAGTCTGTAATACTGTGTGCATTTGCAAGCCTATTTGTTTTATTATATCATTCTGTCTTACTGACTTGGGTATAAAATATGTCTTGGAATATTTTTTATGGAACTGTACACATGAAGATGTGAAGCATTTTTTATTTAGAGGCATTATTCTTTAGTCATCAGTTTACATGAAAGCTTTATCTTCCAATCACTTCAGAATTTTGAAGAAAATACAGAAAAAAAAGGATTCTGTAAAATAAATTATTTGTGTTTGCTGCTAACCTATTTGTTTAGTTGCAAGAACATTATGTAGAAATTATGATCAGTATACAAATAGTTGGGGAAGTTTGGGGTTTTTTATTTCAGTTGTATGGAACTTTGCAAGTAAACATTACATTTCTGCCACTTGTGTTGCAGTATGAGCTAAGTATGTGGTTCAAAGTTCGTTTCTGAATAACTCTGGGCATTTTCTTAATAGTTACTTTTTCTTCTATGTATGGCAATATTTATTAACTGAAGCATCATGCTAAAACTACCCAATCATTGTTCTACCCAAAGCAAAGCCATCTATATGTAAATCACTCTGACAGTTATTGTCGAACTTGTTTCTTTAAAAGAAATGAATAAAAGAAGTAGATTTCACAACCTTTTTAGGCAAACTAACCAGCTTCTAACTACCTGTCCTGCTAGAAAGCCTTAATATCCAAAGGAAATTCCCTAGGAGGAGTATTATATTCACTGTTCCATGACCGCCACTAATGTGGAGAACTGTTTATTTTCTTATTCACGGCAGCTGACCTTTATATGTGCAAAGCATGTTGTATGAACCTCCCCTTAGTCTTTTCTTCAGTAGATTAGACAATCGCAGCTCCTGCAGTCTTCCCTGTTTGTAGTGTGCTCATTTTTCTCTTTCCAGAACTCTCACTAAGTGGACTAGATCTGTCTAGAAAAACTAGACGTGGCAGTCACGCTACAGTCTTACAAAAAACAAGAACAGCAGCAGGATTTTTTTCATCCGATTTGCAAGCTCTGTTCATAGTTACATGTCACAGTATGACACTTTTTGCCACCATGGTTTGATATGGTAACATGTTCAGATTGCAATCAGAAGTTCTACTTTTTCCATTCCACCCTTCTTTGTCTGCTGTTTATCAGATTTGATCTTAGAACTGTTACTTAGCCCACTTTTTCCCTGTCCTGTATTGTTTTTCCTACCCAAGTGTCAGAACTTGGTATCTAACAGGTTTTTTCCCCCTTAAGGCATTTCTGTATTTTGCTCTGTATGTTAACGCTGTCCTCCACCAAGCTGGAAGAATTTTCCAGCCAGATGTCATCTGCAAATGTAATAAACATACTCTCTAATTATTGGAAATCGTTTATGAAAATGCCATACGATACTGGCCTTTACTTACATTTTGGAATCTAATACAATATTTCTTTGCACTCTGACAGAGAACAGTCGATTACTCTTTTGAGTACAATTTCATTCTGTCTTACAGTGGTTTTTCTTTAGACTGGATTCTCCCAGCTTTTATGTAACATCTGATACAGTTGTTCAAGTCAAGATACATGATGTGTACCACCCTAATACCTGATATTGAAAGAAAACTGACCTGTTTTCTTTCTAATAGCTGGGTCCAGTTTCTTCTTGACAGGTGCTTGACTGTTACTTACCTAGCCCTTACTCTGTTGACTCAGACAAGGAAGAGTAATTTGTTCACATTTTTGAAATAACTTGAATTAAATTGGACGTTTATAATTTCCCTGGATCAATTTCCCTTCTTCTTAAAGATCACGAGAATTTCTATGTTCCTGGAATATACCCCATGCCAGAAAATTGCTGAAAAGCAAAGAATTGGCAAAATCAAAATACGGTGTTCTCAAGTTCCTCTGCTTCACAGATAAGCTTTAATATGTCAGTTCTTTCCCAGTCAGTATTAGTTGTTATTCCTATGTCAGTGTTCACAGTTGTCTTGACACTGACTGTAATCTGTTTAAGTAAGACTGAGGGAATAAGGGTACTCTGCGCTTCAGTTTATAATGTCATTGCTGAATAGTGGCAGATTATCTCTTATGTCCACACAGTTACTGACAAAAATACTGGTCTTGTAACTCACTGCTGAAATAATTACAATGCAATACAGTATTTATAGAGAAAGTGTGATTAGAGCACCAGTCCGCTTTGACATACCAATGCAATTGCTCAGGAAGAATGATCTGATTAGTTTGCTACTACCTGTAGGCCACCTTCCACATTCAGTTAAGGTCTGCGAGTACAGTTTACACTATTCAGTGAGGTATACTCCTCATTGGTTTACGTTAAGTGAATTACGAATGCCTCAGTCTGGAAAAAATGATTGGAAAATACTCAACCAGAACTCTCGGGGAGAAGAACTGTGTCTGTGTGGGCTTGGAAAGGGAGCTAGCCAGCTCACATGACTGCTTCCAGGGCAGAACTAGCTTTTAAGGAGGGTGTTAAGGCCCATATTGCACAACCAGTCTCCTAGGCCCCAGAGATCCCTAGAGAACCTTCAAGGGAGCATAGGAGCAAGCAGAAACAAAGGTCAGAGAATCAAGAGATGCAAGAATGCATGGCGTGATTAAAAACCAAGCTGAGCATCAGGAAATTGAAGATGCCTTTTTTTAGCACAGCAAAACTCTGGGAGGAAAAAGAAGCCAGAGAGCAGATGAAGCTGTGTGAAGATGTTACCAGGTTAGGTGCATCGCAGAGCAGAAGCAGAGCATGGTGTTTCCTGGTTGTCTTTCTTCTGCAGCTGGGCAAGCCACAGTACTCACTGCAGGGTCACTGCAGAGGGGCCATCGTGCAATTGGTGGTGGGCCTGCGCCAGCTCTGCCAGCATCCCCAGCTGTGCGACAGATTGCTGTGGGGCCTAGTTTATCCCTAACCGTGGTCACCAGTTTCCTATCCTACACTACAGAGAGTGCAACAGGCCTTGTGTGCTACTGCAGTACCCTGAAGCTTTGTTTTGTCAGGTGCTGTGACTATCCCGAGTGAACACGTTTTGGGTTTTTCAGATTTTTAGCCCAGAAGCTTAGTGACAGGACAAGCTGGCTACTAGTGCTGTACTGGAAGTGTTTTGACAGGTTAGCAAGCAGTGGAGAAATTTTTCCTGGCAGTGCCTGGTTTTACTTTCCTCAGTTCAGATTCTGTTTTGCTCGCTGTATTTGTTATTTGTTGTGATTTAAGATAAATCTGAAAATGGACAATGAGACTGAATCTGCTTCTTCCATCCCATATTAGAGGATTGGCTCTGTCTCGTGCTGGTTGTGCAAGAGAATGAAGCTGGCTTATACCTTGGCAGTTGGGAAGCATTTAGGTTTAGGTTTTGGGTTTAAGCTGTTACCATATGCTTCAGTTTGCTTAAACTGAAGAGCCTGCTCTAATGTTATCTTATTTCAACTATCTCTCTTGAGTGATGCTCTTAAGTTAATCTCTGGTATGAGCCCAGCGTCCGTCTGCTGGATGCGATTACCGGGAGCAGCAGAGTCTTCCAGGGCAGGAGCACCTTCACATTTCCTGCTCTCTGTACGAGGTCGTTGGCTTTCTGAAACGAACAAAAAACCTGAACTCGCGACTGTAGCAATTGCCATCTAAATGCGTGTAGGTCGGTGCAGTTGTCCAGTCTATATTGTAAAGCTATCAGATGTGCAAACTTAATTGCTGGCTGCTATGGCATTAATTAAAATTCTCGTTTGTGAGGACTCAGGTATGACCTTTACTAAATGCTGTCTTAGCAGCTATCCTATTGGATTTGTGTTGCCAACAGCAAAAAAAGAAAAATCCACCTCTTGCAGCTCTTTTCTGTGAAAAATTCCTTGTGGTAATTCATCAGGATTTATGGTTTAAATATGTATTTGTTCCAAAATATTTTCTTATGAAGTTCACTTGGAATGTATGGGATAAATATTCCACTCATTTCTGAGATTTTCTTGTTCTTGAAGTTTCAGCTTTGAAGTAACACTGGTACTTCTTTCGTGTTAAATTGCTGGATTAACAGATATCTGTTTATAGAGCTGTTTATACAAAACAGTCTGGCAGCAACTGATTTAATAAGAGAAAATTCTACAGCTAATATAAATTACCATGGCTCTGTTTATATCAGCATGTTTTTATATCACTGTAAGAACTGACCCAGCATGTTTCTAATTTACTTTTTAGGGGCTGGTGGTTTTTTTAAATTTTTTGTGTATATAGCTAAAGGAAAAAACAGAAGTAGAACCAAAGTGGGAGAATCAAATTTCTTGGAGAAAATTATATGTTCATGTATTGGTTTGTGCCTGTTTAATAACTTCTCAGAAAATATTTGATCTTCCTTGAAGAATTTTTCTCTGATAATGCTTAAAGGTAATCTAGTCTTTAAAATATAGGTAGACTGGGAGTTTCCAAGTAAGATTTTTGCGCAGTGTTGGGAACCAGGGAACTCAATGTCACCTTTTTTAGATTTCCCTTACCTGTTTATTCTTTTCCCTATGTTTATTATCAAGTAATTTTCTGAGACTCACTGGCCTTCTTCCAGAGTTTTATTCCCTCATATTCTTAGTAAAAATGATTGTTACCTGGAAAAGTAACTTAATTACATCAAGTCCTATGTCTTCAAATGTAAACAGTGAAAATGCATTTTTAAATCTCTTTATATATTTCTCTATTTTATCTGTATCATAATTTTCTTTTTAACCAATATTTAAGGTTGATTGAATGCTAATTCAACAGTCTGACCTAATCCTTGAGCTTTCTTGCATCTGACTGAAGTGTTAATGCTGTACTCCATAATTACTGAATGACTTACAGATTCCACTTTCCTTTAGCTATATACAAAGTTGATAGATAACGACTGTGGAACATTGTATTTTAGCTG